ATAGAAACCAAAAATGAACACTAGCCTCTTGGTGTTGCTCATTGTCCAAAAGAAGACTGCCAAATTTCTGACCTGAAACTCTGAACTACACACTTCTTTTGCATGAGCTTCCAGTCCTTGACTCTCCCTTGCCATTTCAGTTGATGCCATTTTTCTTTCTCAAGCTCTGATTTCATTCGATTCAAGAGTAGCTTGGCAGTTGTCCTCTCATTATCCAGCAGTGCTCTCTTTATATTCTGTGTATTAAAAAATAAAACCAGAAGTAGAAGCAGCATACAACATGCAGGAACAAAAAAGGAGTACAAGCAGCATACAACATGCAAAAACAACAAAAAAAATTTTCTTCTACAGAAAATGAGTGGAAAAAATGCACAGCTCTTTCTGGTTGTGTGTTTTCATCTCAGCAGAGTATTTCCTCCTGACCATCATGTGCTATGGCCACTCCGTGTCCATCTGCAAACCCCGGCACTACGGGACCCTCCTGGGCAGCAGAGCTTGTGCCCACATGGCAGCAGCTGCCTGGGCCAGTGGCTTTCTCAATGCTCTGCTGCACACGGCCAATACATTTTCCCTGCCCCTGTGCCAGGCAATGCTCTGGACCAGTTCTTGTGTGAAATCCCACACATCCTCAAGCTCTCCTGCTCCAAATACCAACTCGGGGAATTTTGGCTCATTGCTGTTTGTGTCTGTTTAGGACTCGGTTGTTTTGTGTTTATTGTTTTCTCCTATGTGCAGATCGTCAGGGCCATGCTGAGGATCCCCTCTGAACAGGGAGGGCACAAAGCCTTTTCCACTTGCCTCCCTCACCTGGCCATGGTCTCTCTGTTTATCAGCACTGCAGCATTTGCCCACCTGAAGCCCCTCTCTATCTCCTCCCAGTCCTTGGATCTGGCACTGTCAGTTCTGCACTCAGTGGTGACTCCAGCACTGAACCCCCTCATCTAAAGCCTGAGGAATCAGGAGCTCAAGGATGCTCTGATGAAAGCGATGACTGGACACTTTTCAGAAGTTAAAATCTTTGTATTTTCCTCTTCTGAGCATTTAATGTAACACATTACATGCCAAGCCTGCCTTCTAAAGGTTTTAAGAGTGCTACAAAGCAGGGGGGGGTGGGGATGACAACAGAGTTTTCTACTTTTTCCTTGTGATCATTTTCATAATGAAAATTTAGTCATCTTCCCATATTGAGTTCACGATCTGCCTCTTTAACTTGACTCACAGACTGTGTAAATTAGGAATCATGCTCTGTGTGTGTTTAAATAAAGTAAATGTTCTTGCAGAGGCTTATTTGTCAAAAGTCTTCCCTCTGTTAATGTCTTCTTCAGCTATAGAGGCAGTGTCTGTGTGCAAAGGTCGAAAGAGAGTCCCAGCACAGCAGCGCTGCCAGGGAGCAGCAGCACTTGGTCTTTTGAGAGCTGCACTTTTTCCACTTTCACCATTCCCTTTATTATCCTTGTCTGAGGCCTGAGTGCTCTGCAGTTCAGTCCCTGTCCTGTGTGTCTGTGGTGTGACTGCAGGCAGGGAAGGCCATTGGCACAGCTGGGACACAGCCGGGCTCCAGCACAGCAGTTCCATCAGCAAAGGGGGTTTCCTCAGTGCAGTGCCCAAAGGGTTAGGTCTTTTTACTAAGTTAGTCTCCAGGAGAAGCCCAAAGAATGGATTTTGCGGTCTCACTGCTTTGTTTGTTTGTCCCTGGAGTCAGTACCATGAGATCAGGGTCCCACTGTGGTACTTCAGGTACTTCACTGAGGGCAGGGTCAGACATTTTCTGTTAGTGATCAGTGGCCATGGAGATGACAGATGATCTCCAAGTCACCCGCCTGGGGCTCTGAAACTGTGATGGCTCTGGTGGCAGGCAAGCACTTTTCTGTAGGAAATCAGAACCTGCCAGGAGAGCACAGAGGATCTGCAGGGACAGCCTGTGAATGGAGGCCTAGAGCAGAATCCTGCCCATGGTGGGGTCACCCAGAGATAAAGGCCTGAATGTCTGCTGTGAGGCAGGAGAGCTCTGCAGCCCCAGGGACACAGTTGGCACGGAGAAAGGAGTCTGGGGACTGACTCCTCTGAGCCTCAGGGAACTTCCCCAGGAGGATGCAGGGCAGCCCCAAGGCCATGGGGCAGCCCTGGAACAAGGCAGGCAGCTCTGAGCCCCTGCAAGGCCCCAGCAGAGCCTGTGTGGGAGGGGGTCAGTGCAGGGAGCACCATCAGCTGCCTCTGTGTCCCAGGCTGAGCGGCAGAGCCCAGCAGAGGCAGCCCAGGGCCCCGGGCAGCGCAGCCCCCGTGCTCTGCAGAGCAGCAGCCCCAGCTCAGGGCTGCGGGGAGCAGGGCAGGGGCTGCAGCAATGGCTGCTCAGGCCAGCACAGACGTGTTCCCCTGGCAAAGGCTCTGTGGACAGCTGGCATGTGCCAGGAGCAGAGCAGGAACCTGTGGGGGTACAGAGGAGCCCTGGCAAGAGGCTGCCCTGTCCCTGGGGCAGCAGCAGCTGCCTGAGGAGTCCTGGGGGCAACTCTGCTGCTATGCTGGGCAGCGGGGCTGGCCCTGGGGCTGCAGCAGCTGCCCGAGCAGAGGATCTCCTGAGCATTCCAGACACAGAGTGGCTGTCCCTGACCTGCAGTGCCTCCAGTTCCTGCTGCAGGAGGTTACCATGACTGGGTCAACTGCACTGCTG